TCGAATTGCTTGTAAAGCTTTCCTTTTCGCGAGACTTCGGGACTTGTCCGTTGCTCGTTCTTTCGATCTAACTTTCTTTCTCTTTTACAGGTCCTTCAGGACCTGCGAGAGGTTACAAAGTGGCTGATCCTTGCGGAGCAAGATCGCAAGGGCGAAGCGCGACTTAGGCAACTCAAGCTAAGTTCGCGTCTTTGCGACGAGGGTGACTCGCGACTTAGGCAACCCAAGCTAAGTTCGCGTCTTTGGCCGCAAGGGTGCATCACGCCTTAGGCAATTCCAGCTAAGGTCGTGACATTACGGTCTTATTATTGTTGTTGCTGTTGTACCGAAGCATGCATCAGCACACCTAACATTCCACATCAAGAAATATAGATACCAAGTCTGGGCTGCTTTAGTCCACCACATGGATCTTCTCCTATGGTTCAGTTCCTTATGGATTGTATCCCCTATCGACCTCATTTTTTAGGATGTCTCTATTATCGCTTCTAGTGAAGCTCTTTTCTATATTTTGTGACTTTTTCTACAGTCATTTAATGATTTGCTTCATTTTACTTCTCTTAAAATGTATAATTTGTTATTGTCCTCTCAGTCGCCGATTCTGCATTTATACCCTCCATCTGTATTATTTTGGGTGCCTTGTGAAGAGCACATCTATCTTGATATCTTGACTTCAGATGTTATGAATTGTAGTTTAGCAGATGAACATATGGAGATCGAGATGCGGCGACTAAACATGCAAGTGGTTCTCTATGTTAACTGCAGCCGATGATCAAAGGTAATACTTCAATTTTCCGATTTAAGGATTAGAGATTGATTTCAAAAAGCCAGCTGAAATTGAGTGTTATCTTGGCTTGCACTTTCTATCAACTACCCCGTAAAGCTTTTGGTTTCAAAGTTGTATCTTCTTTCACGTCAACAATACATCTGCTATGTTTTAATTAAATACATGAGCTTGCATTACGAATTCAGGTTTTATTTCAAAGTCTTGTTTTCTTTTTTTATGTTTTGCATTATTAATTAAATTCTAGGACTGTGGTGATCAAATTCTTCTATACATCTAGGGACAAATGTGATTCGAATGTCATAACTCTGCTCCTTTGAGCAATTAACAGGCCTTTCGGCCAATGTGTAATCAAAGTGTCATTTGTTATAGCCTACCAAAACAACTGCAAGATCTCTTCACCTTATGGAGGTGGAAGTCTTTCACAAAAGTACATAAATAGAAAGTCCACACCATGTTTTTTTTCTTTTTTTTTTGTCGTATTTGTCACTGATTATTTAATTTTATTATATTTTTCGTTGATGGAGTTGGACTTATGGTAAGTACCCATATGATTACTCACCGTAAAGAAGCAATTAAATTTTGCATGTAGTTATTTATGGATTAATTGTAACCTCAAAACTACTGCTTTTCTTCAAAATCAAAGTTATCTGATTAGATGTTCAGTGCATTTTCGCATATTATAGGATTTCCAGAAGAAAATTTTGAATGTGAAGGTTGCTATCATGTTTCAGCTGATCAACACACCACTAAAATGACCTGATTCTTGTGGAGGTATTGTTATTTATTTCAAGTCAAACAGGTCATGTAAAAGGAAGTTTATGCTTATTTCACCTTTGGTCCATTGTAACCCATTGTGTGTTCTTTCTTTTCTTTAGCTTGATGAAGATGAAGAACAAATATTCCTTCATTCTGAGTTGCTCATCTTTGTTTCACACAACTTGTGGAGTGCTGTTAGCTTCATCATGTGATTCTGAGGAATAATCTCTTTCCTATCAGCTTAGTTGAGGTCTTTTGTCTTTTAAGCTTCAGTATCAAGTCTTGTTGATAACTAAGAATCTCGAGGTAATGGGTTAGGTTGATATCCTTCCCAACTGTTGTTTGGTTGCTTTGGCAGATTCTCTCAGGAACAGAGGACATGTTTGGATTCCACATGCTCTGTCGATGGAGCCGAAGGACCGACCGCATGGGCTGAAGCAGAGGAGACGCTCGTAGATTCCTTTCAGAAGGTGACTCTTCCTGCCTCCGCCGCCTCCTCCTTGTGTCTCACTTACCACTTTGCACCTGCACTACTGCTACTGTTGAGATCGTGGCACCCAAGCAGAGGTCATTTTCTACAGGACATAGGAAGATGATCGACGAATGAATCGGTGGCATCGCCCCATAAATTTTTCGTACCGTCGACATGCATCTCCAAAGAATCTCCTTGGTTGGCAATCTTGCATCGAGTTAGGAAGAGAAGGGCGAAGAGGTAGCAGAGAGACGGGATTAGGTTTTCGGCCCAAAGCTTAATGTCGGGCGGGAAGGTGGCCACAGTCATCATAAAGACACGAAGGACACTAAGAACCCATCGTATTCGTCTATTCCATCACATCTATTGATCTCAATCGTTGGTTCATATCATAACCATGCATGCAGTTACATGACGTCCTCACGGATAGGGACGAACGCCGGCGTGGTGGACGACGTAGACGTCGAACACGGCGATGAGCCCCTCGGCCGAGCTGGAGATCACCTCGCTGACCGCGTTGCCCCAGGCGAACCGGAACCGACCCGTCCCTCCGATGATGGCCCGGTCCGCCTTGCCGGCCCCGTCCATCTTTCCTATTATCGTGAGCGTGCTGTTGGCGAACTCCCCTTCGGTGAACACCAACAACAGCGGGATCAGCAGCGATACGTCCCGCCGCGAGACCCCGAAGGTCACTCCCTGCGCCTTCCCGACGTACGTGGAGTTCGCCTCGGGCCCGACCCTCAGCACCGTGTCGAAGACGAAGACGTCGCCGAAGCCATTGGGGCGGTTCTCCTTCACCACGTTCAAGGTGGTGTTGTCGGGGCCGATGAAGGTCTCGTGGAAGTAGACGCGGAAGTATGTTCGATTTTGCGGCCCGAGTTCGAACTCCGACGTCACCGGGAAGGCAACGGCGGCAGCCAACAGGGTGAAGAACAGGGGGAACAAGAAGGAGAGGGCGGAATAATGGCGTGGAGAGGAAGAAGCCATGATCAGTGAAGACAATAATCAATCTTTATTCAGTGTGTAAGTATTTATAGATAAATAAATATACAGTAAAAATTGCAAACATTATTATCATGATTTTCTTGTGATTTAAGAGAAATGATATGTTACCATATTTTTTTATGATTGAGAATCATAATTCTTGTGATTTAGAGAATCTTCTTTTTATTGTCTTTCTAAATAAAATCAATGAGATGATCAAATGAATAATTCATAAGGTTGTTTTATAACTGAAATAATATTGTTTATTTTTAAATATTATTAGGTAAATAAGACACGCTGTCGAAGAGAACGGTTACTTTATTTAGTCGTCAAATGCTGCCGCAGTGGATGCCTGAGACGCTGCAGGCAAGCAATCGGTTACAGGCTTCTACGGTGCGACGACGACGACGCTAAGCTTGGCGAGGGCCCTCGTAATGCATCACATAGATGTCGTACACGGCGACGAGCCCGTCGACGGAGGAGGTGAGCACCTGCGTGACCATGTGCCCCCGGGCGAGCAAGAACCGCCCGGTCCCTCCCACCACCGCCCTGTCCCCCCTGCCCGCCGCGTCCACCCGCCCCACCACCGTCAGCGTGCTCCCGGCGTACTCCCCCCCGGTGAACAGCAGCACGAACTCTATCAACAGCGCCTCCTCCTCCTGTGACACGTGAAAGCTCACGCCCTGCGCCCGCCCCACCACCCGTGACCTCGCGTCGGCGTCCGTCCGCAGCGCCGCGTCGATCATGTCGATGTTCCCGAACCTGCTCGGGTAGTCCCCGTTCCCCTTCACCACGTTGATCGACGTCACGTTGGGCCCCCGGAAGACCTCGTGGAAGTAGACGCGCAGGTGGGTCGACCTCTCCGAACCGAGGCCGACCTCCAAGCTTTCTGGCCACGCTGCTGCTGCTGCGGTTGCGGCGGCGGCGGCTGTCAAGAGGAAGAGGAGGAGGAAGCAGAAGAGGGAGGGGTTGGGTGGAGACGAAGCCATTGAAGAATGCCGATGCAGCTTCTGAGAACGGATGGAGCCAATGAGTGGATCGCCAAGGCTCTTCCATGTTACCCCAATCATGGATGCCACAGCCCACGTGATTGATCGTCAGTTGCGTCAGTGGTCAGTGGTTGGTTGTCAGCCTCTCATTATAGCTTTCTCATCAATAAATATCTAAACCAAATTCGATCCCCTTTTTATTTTAAATCCTCCCAAATTAGATAACCAAACTCGATTTCAATAAATCAAGACGTCAGTATAAAAAAAATATATTCGTTACTGTAATAATTTAAAAATAGATAGATTATTAGGTTATCTCAATTTCGATTCTGTTTAATGTTTTTGAAGAGAGCGAAATAATATTTTGCAGATATAGGAAAAAATGAAGGGTTTTTTTTTTCGGGAATTCGCTCGTAAAACAGATCCGTATAATTGAATTCCCGATCCGTTACAGCCGCTGTAACAGAACGTTACATTAGTAGTTATCACCCAGCGCACACGTGGCGTCCAAGCTTGCCGTTTTGAAGGGGAGAGGGGATGGCGGTTTAAATGGGCGGTGGAATCGAACGGCGGGCTCGTGGCCTAAGGTTTCCTAATCCGTCTCTCCGCACCTCTTCGTCTCGCTTCGGCGATCTTTAGGGTAGGGTTTGGAGTTCTTTTGGGTCTTCGGTGTCATTGCTCTTCCGCGTCCGGCGGAAGCGCCGGCCAATTCAACGAGCGCAATTTGGTGATTAATGTTGGCTTCTTTTTATCCTATTTTGTTGAATTTCTTTGTTAATTGTAACTCCTTTCGCCGTCTACTCGCTTTTGATCTTGAATTCGATGGAGTGCCTGACGATTTGTTGTCGGTTTCAATCGATTATTTGATGGAATCTTTGATGTCTCATCCGATGATCATCCGGCCTAATTTCTCCATAGCCAGTGAAAATCTCATGGTATGTGTTTTTCCTCTTTTGTTACGCCCGTCATTTGAAGGGTAACGGAACACAGAATTGGGCGCTGTAGCTGATGTTTTAAGTATTAGGGATTTTGTGCCAGAAACTAATGGATTTTCTTCAAATCGTGGTAATGATGCTTTAAGTATTAGGGTTTTGTGCCAGAAACTGATGGATTTTCTTTAAATCGTGATACGATCCTTGAAATTAATTCTTCTTCTGCTGGTAACGGGATGGTATGCCTTTACCGATCTATTGGTGTCTACTCTCTGGCATTGTCATGTTCTTCATTATGCATGTTTTATCGAGGAATGAGGTTAGATTTGAGAACATTGAACCGAGTAAGGTTCTTCATTTACTGGCATGTATTATGCTGATAATGTGCTGGGATATTAGAGTTCTACAAGAAGATCTTTGTTAAAGAATATAGTTTTTTTTTTTTAAGTGGATGATTTGCTGCATGGTTGGGCAATATCATCTGAAGTTACCAATAATCGCATCAGAAAGTTGATGTAAGTTCCTCTGTTAGTACAGATCTGGTGGGCGTTTAATATTGAATCTGAACTCATATTAGCAATAGCCAATAACCTCCTTGTAATTTTTCAAAAAGAAGCCCCTTATAGAAGTCTTTTCCCTTACATTTTTGGTTGTACAGATTTGAATTAGGGTGTGCAGTTCGGCTTGGATGCCAACCAGCGAAATACTAAGTTGGCAGGTCAGGTTTTACCATGCCGATATGCTGAATCTGTGCCACCTTGGTATGTGCTACATAGCATTGGTCATTTTATCACATATACCTGCTGATCAGTTGAACATTGTATGATTGTCGTACCTTAAAATTGGTAGGCTGAAAATGGAGTTAAATATGGGAATGATCGTGTATTTATCTGAACCAAATAGTATATTTCTTTGTATGCAAATCTCATTTTAGAGGCTTCAAGGTTTACCCTTTTTTTTTCGTGTCATGGCCTTATATAGTTTTGACACTTAAAAACCATTCAAAACTTCAATCAGAATATGGGATGTTGTTGGTTAATACTTTGATTAAAGGAACAAAAAAACAAAACCTGTTAAATAAAAAGCCATAGTTTTTAGGTTTGTTTGTTTAGTTGATGTTACATGGCCTATTGCACCCACACACAAGAAGTCAGAAATATATGTGTTTCAAGTTGGTCACTTGTGTCATTTTTAATTATACTATCCCAAAATCAGATGACATTATCATTATCCACTGATGCAACACAACCGAATGATCTTGAAGGTCTTTGGCAACCGAAAATTTCAAATGCTTCTGCTTGAGCATGTAACCAATTATTTACAAATGCAGCAGAATGATGATAAATCTTACCATGTTACCATCTCTCTTTCTTCTGTTGATTGTAATATTTTTATCCTTGTCCTTCTTCAAAAGTTAATGCTTCAGATTCTCCCTCAAATGATGGTTTACCTGACACCATCTTGACTAACTGTTTGACCATCGATCAGAAAAACGGTGTGGAGCCTGAAAATATAAGGTGTTTGTGTGGTCCATGCCTGCAGTGGCTTGCACAGAATGTGATCTTATGGTGCCAACATCTGAAAGAACCGTTGATTAGAACATTGTAGTGCAATCCTGCTAAAGGAGCTGGAAGAAATGGCTTTAAGCAAATCAGATTGGATAAGGAGTTTTTTAGGCTAAACAACTAAAATGCGGAGCAGTCCATGGATGATTTTCTTGTGGGTATGAGCTTTTGACTCTTGATTCCCTTATCACATGCGTTGTGATATTTGATGTCCGCAAGGTTACTGATAGAATGGTTTTTCTGGTCTCGGGGTTTCTGTGGTACAATCATGAATTTGATCTGCTAATAGAACGTGTTTGTAGTGTTTAATGGAGTTGAGGTGCACTGCTGGAGAGAAGGCTGAGTGGGATTGCACAGTTCACTATTTAGGTCAACAATAGCTTAAAGTCCGTAATATTGTATTTACATCAATGTTGATAAAGAAAAAAATGATGAGGTAATCTTCAGCTTCACTTTGTTTTCTTCAGTTCATGGTAGAAATGTATGATCTGATGCGGAATAATCTCTTGAGATTGCTGTGGCAGTTTCCAGATCTGACCAGATATTAAAGGATTAGGGATGTTCTCTTTTACTTTTATTCTTTGGAATTCTTGTCCGTTGAAGCTTTTGGTAGGTTGTAATTTACAGATGGAGATCTGACATGCAGCAAATTTGGACTTGCCAAGCATTAAATAGCAAAGAAGCAAATGAACTTGATGGTCTTGCAGGGCTTGGGAAGAATCTTCAACATGCCAACTTTGTGGTTCATATACAAAAGTTGTGGGCGCCCTCCTATTCGGTCGGTATGCAACTTAGCCCCAATTCGTATACTAGTTTTGCGTAGGGCAAAGTTGACTTGTTTGTTTCTTTCATTTGACGCTGAGAATTTGGCAAATAGCTTCAAATGAGAGAAGAATGGGCTAAGATAAAGTTAGGAATTGTTATCCAATAACAATATTGATGATTTGATGGTTGCATTTCCAATAGAGACATTTGATTAAAGTGTTATAGTTGTCTGATGCCGTCATATTTGCCTTGTTACGTGGAGGTCTCAGCCATGTGGAAGAGATGGAGGAGATTATTCATCTCATGATGATTCAGGTAAACAAGCTTTGTTTTGGTTGAAAATTTGGGTAGATAAATTTAGGAATTGTTATCCAGCAACCATACTGATCATATTTGTCTTATTCCGCGAGTTCTCAGCCTTGTGGAAGAGATGGAGGAGATTATTCGCCTCTTTATGATTCAGGTAAACAACCTTTGTTTTGGTTGAATAGATTTTGGATATACTATGCATACATGTTGCACACATCAAAGATACTGAGGAGATGTAGCACGAGTTCATCAGCTTTGCCAGAGAATACCTTGTCGAACAAGAAATCACTTGGTGATAATGATTTCAAGGCGGTAAAAAATGCTCTTAATTGATAATATGTGAAATGGTCATCCATTGTTATCTTCCAATATGATTTGCCATTACTATATGACGCTGCTGTTTGTCTCTTAGCCAGATCGATCATTCCAAACATCAGAGTCAAAAATTACAGCAGCAACGATTACTTACCAGTAATCTCCCTCTCTCTCTCTCTCTCTAAGCATCTACAAGTTACTGCAACAACAGAAACGAAGCTTCCGTGATCTTTGATGGATCTCACAAATCACGGTCTCCTCCTGCTGCTCCCCCTGATCTCCTGCTGCTGAAGAGGAGGGCGAAGAAGCTGACGGTAGCACAGATGCCGGCAACGAGGTTGCCCTCGCGGACGAGGATCTTGAGGGCGATGGCGGTGATGTCGGCGGTGATCCGCCGCCCCTCCATGACCAGAGACCGCCGCGGCTTCCCCGCGAAGGCGAGCAGCACCAGCACGGTGATCCACGTGACCAGCGTCGCCGGCACCGCCACCGCGAGCGCCGCCCCCATCGCCAGTAGCCCGAATACGCCTCCGTACAGCACCGACGCGTACAGCGCCGGCCACCCGGCGACGTAGGTCGGAGAAGTGGAGGAGGAGGAGGAGGAGGAGTGAGAAGAGGCGGTGTTGTACCAGGAGCGGATGGAAAGGAGGAGGCTCCAGGAGCAGTAGAGGAGGAAGGTGTAGACGAGGAGGAAGAGGCAGACCCACGTCCGCCTCATGCCCATGGCTCTTACCAGGAGCGGTCTCTCCGGGCTCGCCATCGACTGCTCGTTGAGGAGGAAGAAGATGGAGGAGGAGAAGGAGACGGAAAGGGGGCAAGAAGAGGGCTAGAAGTGGTGGTACAGAAGAGTTCGCTTTACTCTGCCTGCCTACCTACGTGGGCGGCCGGTCTTGGTTAGTAGTCAACAGCCTGGTCTAAGTTTTTTTGTTACTGTCCCGAAGGCCGGAGTTTGCCCGGGTTCACCAACAACAGTCTGTTCTTCATTTTTAAATTTAAAACAATAGATAATTCTTTTTTGAATGTTTCAGGTAGGAAATAGATATTAATGACTGAAATAAAATTCCTAATAGGGGGTTTGCAGATTAGGAGATAAATAATGACATCTTAAATAAGGTAAAAAATTAAGATGATTATATATTTATTCCTTTAAGAAATTTTATTTACCCCTAAAGAAAAGAGATACAAATGCTTATCAAAATTAAATCCACATAGGTCCTAAAATTGAAACATAATCAAGACTTTTACAATAAATTAATATCTATGCCAAATTCTTCAGTACTAAATTATCCAATCTTCCTAAATTTCCATTTTTTAGCCTACATGATACTCCATGGAGGTCAGGTCCTCTCACCACTTTTAGAGTCTTTTGTCACTCTACAAGTTGAGCACTTTACAACTCCCATTCTAGATGGATAAAGGTGGGGAAACAAAACCTGAGGTCCAACCCTGACGTATCATGAGAAGTCTCTTCTAGCTGTTTTGGTAAGTTCCTCTCCTCTTTGTATCTTGGTTACTCATCGTGGGTATGCTCTCATTCTCTGTTGGGTCGAAAGGTCGCAACGGCCCTAAGGCGAATTCTTAACGGAATTCCTTTTTTTGATTCCCTTCAAGTTTACAATAAGAATGTTTGTTTGTTTTTTTATTTTTAGAATGTGAATAGTATATTAGCCCATGGGCTATGCTTTTAGAGGCAAATGATGAAAGCGAACAACCTAAATGTAGCTCCACCACGTCACGTAACAAGTACACCACCACCACCCTTCATTCTTATTGGAAGTCTTCCTTGGCCACATCCGGGAGGTCCAAACTTTGAACTAGATATAAACATCCACCCTCTTCTCTCAACATTGGCAACATCACACAACACCATCCAATAGTTCGTCGCCCGTAACCAGAAATTACTATTGCTCCTCAACGAGTGCACAACGAGAATCCATATCCTGGGAGACAGGATACATCAATATATGATTGACTTGAATTGCATGGGAGTGTTAGGACCTGCCTACTTGAATTGCATGGGGGATGTGAAAAGTATAAGACAGGTGAGCATCCAATTGAATTGCCCATATAAAGGGTGACAAACTCATGAGACATACGAAAGGACCACATGTATAAAGGGCGCCAAATACATCATGAAGATATCAAGACATATTGACTTGAACCAATTGTATAGGGATGTTGGTTAAGATGTGTGGAGGGCATCAAAATGTATTGACTTACCCACTTCAATAAGTGGTGCTAGATCTTTGTGACATGCTAGTTTTGAACCACCAATATAGAAAATGTTAGATGCATAAGATGTATAAATGCATCAAAACATAGCAATAAATGCACGAGACACCTAATATATATATATGACTATAAATGCGTTTGTATTGTCCCTTTCACAGAGACGACTATAAGTTTACAAATAAATCTGACCATGCTCCCCTTCATTTCTTTAAACGAAATCAACAAAGATAGATTCAGATCAATTTTCGAAATATCCCTTTTGGAATATCTCAACTATTATGGAATCTAATTTAATACAATATGATATTTTTGGGGAACTAGCGGCCACATTAATGTTTTCATTTGAATTGACACTCTCATGTTCCCCATTCTCTCTAGGCAACTCATCCCTTACTATCATAAGTTGAAGGCCATCACTTGGATAATACCTTATTTTCTTTGTCAATAGGATAAATGAAACACACAGAAAACCTATTCTAAGACGTGTGATGGTTGATATGTGTATGCTGAGCTAAAACCTAAAGCCTTACTATAATACTTGTAGTTTCTCGCTCTTGATCTACAAATTATTTGATTCCTCGTGAAATCCCGGTGGTGTTCATGACACACCAACTCGGCTTTGACGAAATGGGTAGGTTCGTCATCAGTGCGTCGAGTTTGGTGCGCTTTTGAGTAGCATCAGGAGTTCATGAAAATCAAATAATTTATAGGTCGAGACTGAGTTCAGTAGCATCAAGAGTTTCTTTTAGCTCATCACACAAATGCGAGTGCATGCATCACACACCTCAGGAAAAGTATTCTTCTTAGTTTATTTTTTAACGATGAAAAGAATGTGCTAAACGGGAGGGTGGCAAAGCAAAGCTGCTACTTATGATCGGAATAGCATTAGGTAATGACCTTCATCACTTACCTCCCTCCCGCTTTGCTGCTTGCACTTGGGGGGGGGGGGGGGCGGGGGGAGGGAAGAGAAAAGCTGAAGAAGAACAATAGAAGAAATTATAACGCCACAAAAATCAATCTGTATACACTAATCACTAAAAATGAAGCCTGTGCAACAATATATTCGAATTTTAATCGTAATTGAATCATCAAACTGAAGGGAAGTAATGCTTGTAATATTACAAACAGTTATTTTCCAAAGTAGCAGACAAAAGCCTAACATATTATTATACATCCCAGTATTCATTAACAATAAAATGCCTAGGAGTATAGACTGTACAAAATATCAAAGATGAACCACACTGATCATCAGATATATGATCAGATTGTGTATTTGTCATCACCTTTCCTTTTTACTTTTTTTTTTTAAAATATAATCCTTAACTTCCCTCTCTCCAAGTGGTGTATATTTATTCGGTTAAAAATCCCTCCCCGTCCTCAAAGCCTATGATGAAGAGAAACTTTTCAAGACAAATGGAGAAAGACAGTTGGCAGAGAAATACTTCCTAAGATAAGTGGAGTAGAGGACCACATGATTGGGCTGGATCTCAATTTTTCTTTTTGTTCACTTTAAATTGTAAAGTGCATATCTTGCAGGACTACAACCACTCCAAAGTGATGAAATGATCCCGACAAAAATGACCACGATCGGCAAGGCCATTTCACCACTTCAGCGTCATTGTCACCCTGTAAGTCGAGTGTTTTACAATTATTAGTGAGCAAAGGGGAAAATTTAGGTCCAACACGAATGTAGTTCTATGCTTTAAATGTCTTCTGAATTCTTTTTTACTTCGGTTGTCTTAGGAAGTTCCTCCCTAGTCATCATTAGCAGCAAAACACATAGGAGTATGGACTGTACAAAATATTCCACACTCGATGTCCATATATGGACAGATTGTATGTTTTGTTCTATTATATCTGCAAAAGAAGGGATAAAAAGAAGAATAGCAACAACAAACGTTAAGAGTGATGAAAGGAGTCCAAGGAATGCTTTCCTTTGTACCCTCCAATACTCTTCTACCAAATAACTTGCTCGATCTCCAACTCGACGAAGCATGTTTCCAATGATTAATCATAATTGAACCATCAAACCGAGGGCAAATAATGCTTAAAATATGAGCAGACAAAAAGACTAGCATAGAATACATCCCCATAATCATTAACAACAAAATGCATAGGAACACAAATTATATCGTTTTAGCTCAAGAAACAAGAAGCAAAACATGGATATCCAAGACATGTTGATTCAAGGGAAGTCATTACTACCTGTCTTCCGTTGGCCCGTCGAAATAGCAACTCTAATAAAGAATACCATGAACAGAAAAATAAGCAAAAGAAAGGTTAGAAAAGTGAAAAAGACAAAAGATCAGATCAGAAGTAAGAGGAGAGACAAAAGAGATGAAAAGTATGCCTGTAGATTTATGTTGAATATATAGTGTTCACCAGGGAGGTTCCTCCAGTGATTTAATGGGTAATCTTTTACTTATCTACCAAACAGGGGTAAAAAAGCGTTCAAATCTTATATCTCATATGCCACTTCTACAAAGGGCAAAACCCTTTGTAGAAGTGGTTCATTGAAGAACTGAAGTCTAGTTCACTGACTTCAGAGTGAAGAGATACTCGAAAAGCTACTTTATGCAGTATTAGTTTTATAATCACTGATTTAATGAGAGAATATTCCTATTATGTATCATGCTATGGTAGCACATTTAGAAGACTCTTTGTCATCCTTGGAAGTTGATGTGGCATGTCGAGTAGATTTTGATTGGATTCAATGTGTTGTCCCAATTAATAAAACATAATGATCATGATATTTACCACTCAATTGTGCTTCAAGGTATGAATTTGTCGAGCCCAGAGAATAATACCTACTTCAGGACTTTGATGCTATTATTTGTATTTAAAAATAATTAAATATTACTTTAGTCACTTTATTGTACGTCCTAGACAATGATATTAAGAGGCACTCGGGCGCTCATCTCGGTGCTTGAGTGAGGTGAGTCTCAAGTGCCTCGAATAGGGGTTAAGTGAGCATCTTCAATTGGGTGCCGCTTAGGAGCGCACTTGGGCCTAGGCGTTGGGCGGTTCATACGCTCGCCTAGGCCAATTGCAAACCTAATTGAAATTGATTCAACTTGACTTGAACTAAAATATTACAAATGGTTCAACAAGCCAAGTCCCACTACCTAACCCTTGTCACGGGCCCATTGGAGAGAAACCCTATTCTCATTCTCGTGATCGCTCACTTTTCCATGCCATCACCAACGCCTCTTCACTTGCGGCCAAAGCTCCTCACTGATGCTTCCACTTTAGTGATGATGTTTGCTTCTCTCTATCTCTCTCTCTCTCTCTCTGCCTCCTCTGCTACGGTCCCTATTGAGGCTCCTTGACACCCGATGCCTCCTCTGTATTTCTTCCGCTTTCCACCCCTCTCATTTCCTCCCGCTATCTCTCTCATGTGTTCGACACTCCCTATATAGGCAATTCAAGTAGATATACTTGATGCTCTCATGTGTCTCAAGTGTCTAATGCTCTTCCAATATAGGTAGTTTAAGTCGACATATCACGATGTCCTCATTGATCGCCTACATCCAACATTTCCTACGTGAATAGTTCAAGTTGACACGTCCCGACACCCTTATGTGTCTCTTGCACTTTTTACATGAGTAATTCAAGTCAACATGTTTGATGCCTTTGTGTGTCTTCTACGCATGATACTCCCCAAGTAAGTAGTTAAAGTCGACACACTCCCTCCATCCATTTTGAGTTCTATTGCATATTGTTAAAGTGATAATTCCATATGATTCAATTGCCGTCTCTAAATAAGAGGTATGGCATTTTCGACTCTGTTCATCAAAGTGCACCTTTAGTGGGGACCAAAAATTTCTACGTGTCTTCTAATGTGTAGACCTCATAGAGAAGGCAAGGAGGCTGATGTCACTTCGGGTCCTTCGGGACCAGTGAACCAGTTGGGGAGCTGTGACTAGCGAAAAGACGAGCACGAGATTACGAGACGGAGTGGTTGGTTGCTAAGAGAGGACAACAAACACGGAAAGAAACAGATATTATCATCTCGAAATGAAATGTGTCAAGGTTTAATGTGAGAAGAGCATAGTCAGGTTTATTTGTAAAGTAGGCTTTAAAGCTTTCTCCGAGAAAGGCACAAGGATGCATTAATCCAATAGAAGGTGCAGGCCATAAACACCTTATTTCCTTCGTAGCCATCACCTTTCATTTTCACACCACGCCATATCCAGAACGATCGATCGCGCGAGAACCAGAGGAGAGAGAGAGAGAGAGAGAGAGAGAGAGAGAGAGAGAGAGAGAGAGAGAGAGAGAGAGAGAGAGGTATTTCTCTTTCTCCTTGTTAGGAACAGTGTAATTAAAGAAAAAAGAAAAGGATCCTGGGGACGAGCACCGAAGAGGGCATCCATAGTAAGGGCAAATAAATTGGAGCGAGAGGGATAATGAGCTCACCAGAGGCGATAGAAGACGGGGCGGCGCATCCGCTCCTTCGCACCACGCCATTTCCAGATCGATCGATCGCGCGAGCGAGCCAGAGAGAGAGAGAGAGAGAGAGAGAGAGAGAGAGAGAGAGAGAGAGAGAGAGACGTACTTCTCTTTCTCCTTGCTAGGATCCGTATGATTCAAGAAAAAGGAAAGGATCCTGGACACGAGAACAGGAGGGCATTCATAGCAAGGGCAAATGAAATGGTGCAAGAGGGATAATGAGCTCACCAAGAGGCGATGAGAAGAAGGGGCGGCGCCTCCGCTCCTTCGCACCACGCCATTTCCAGATCGATCGATCGCGCGAGCAAGCCAGAAAATGGGAGAATGAGGATCGTAGGACGCCGGCCGTGTAGAAGAGTAGCAGCAGCTGCGGAGAATCGGGAATGGCGGGATCTCTTTTTCTCCTTCCGAACGCCTTAAGCCTGACAGTTAGGGCTTTTATCTGCGATCGGGCCGACGACAAATAGCAGGAGACCGTTCTGGTTTGCTCCTCTTCTTCTTCTTATAACAAAACGGATCATGAACACCCGACCCGACCCAACCCAGCCTGCAATACACCTCTACACGTAGCAATCCTATGAGCTTACGCCACGTCGAGCATTATCTCTCAGAATTGTTGCTGTTATATAATTATACGCCTCAAATTAGATTCTCGCGTAAGCGAAAGCGAATCCGATCCACCACTGGGTGATTATTGTCGCGAGGTCATCGTTGGCGAGCACCGAGTCGAAAGCTGCACTCGATAAGTTGACTCCTCGTCGGCAACTGTCAATATAAGCACTAATTGCAGTCCCCTTCACTCTTTCCATGCTTTATATATATAAATATATATGTATGTATATATATATCATGCATATGCATAGTGTCGTACCGTCAAACTCCAAACGAAACTGTCACCTACGTGTCTATCTCTTATTGGTGTCTGTTTAAGCATTCGTAGCGGAACGGGCACAGCAGGTGTTTGGGTGAGTTATCGGGTGACTATATTTTGGTTTACGAACCCTTCCTTCTCGAACGTTAGGGCCCCACGTAAACAGAATTTGATCTCTCGGTAAGGAATCATAAAAAATTTCACATCGTTTTCCCGAACATAATATATTCCGTTAGGGACAGACGAATGGGCCCGCCTGATAAAGTTGAAAATGACGCGATTTATGGGAATATTCAAAGATCCAAATTGATTCATCACGTCGATTGCACGTGCTTATTGGATCTTACGATTCTCCTCTTGCACACCTGAGGAACGAGACAAGCGTCGTGTATCAGACGCGGATCCCAGGCTGTCATCTCACAGATGGTGGGACCCTGCAACGTGACAGCCGTGGCAGCATCCCTCGTTTCCCGGTCCAGTGTCTTATTATTGTATTCGGCTGCTACATGAGGGTGCTCCTATCACACTACCCACCTCGCGTATCGCTATCACTCCACCCGATCCCCGCACCTTCTCCGGTAACTTCACCCCCATTTAATATAGTAATTGGAAAATAATTTTAAAATATTTATACCAATTATAATATGTTTTTTTTTTAATGTGTTGCCAGTGCAGCTGTATTAAATCAACGAAAAATAACGATGAAAAAAAAAGAAAAAGTAACATCAAAACGAAGAACTTTTCCCGAAAATTTGCGCTTCATTATGTGAGTACTGTTAGTACGTTGGACAGTGAGAAGACCGAAAGCTGCCTCTTCCCCTCTCTCTCTCTCTCTCTCTCTCTCTCTCTGTCCTACGTGGTGCTTTGTCACATCTTTGATAAAGACGTCGAGCCAGCAAATAAGTACGGGTTTGGTTTCGCTGTCCATCCACCTCCGCCACCCAATCCTATTGCACTACCACGTCGCTCGCTCCCTCGCTTCCTCGCTCCCGCGGCGTCATTGAAAGGCCAGTCGAACCGTTCCCTTATAAATGCGCCACCTCCTCTCCTTCCCCCTTTCTTTAACCCTCTTCGTTTCGGGCACCCGGCTCTTTCGTTCTCTTCATCCTCCTCCTCCTCCTATCGAAGGCCGATTTGTCTAGGGTTTGTGTCTTCTTTCAACGCAAGTCTATAGGATAGAATTAAATTGTGAAGGGAGATCGCTGGGGAGGGTTTGAAGGACGAGGGAGGTCGTGAGAGAGAGAGAGAGAGAGAGAGAGAGAGAGAGCGCGGAAGGCTACGGAGGCACGCTGCATGTCAGATTGCAGTTCCAGCGAGGAGGGATACTACGGCGGATTCGGTGAGCTTGCGAACCCTCTACAATGGCCGCAACTCAGGAAAAAGCGACGCACGCCGACCCTCCCATCTGTGACGTCGTCGGTGCCAAGGGAGCCGTCCAAGAATGGGTTCCCGTGGCTGATGAGAGGCGGGCCGCCGCGCCGCAGGTCGAGGCCGTCGGAAAGTTGATCGCCCCCGCCGAAGACGTCCCGGCCCCTCCCATGAAGCCCTCTTCCAAAGGTGATGACTTGTTGGACCTGCCTTGCTCTTCTTCTGTGGTTCTTTCTCGTTATCCTTGTTTCCTTCGTGTTTGGATCATTCTGCATATAGGCTTGACTGGAGATGAAGAGGATCGGTTCAAGAAACCGAGAAGTTTGTCCGAGATTCGATCCATGACAAAGAAAGACGTGACAAGGATAGGAGCCCTTCTCGATAAGGGACCTCGCCGTGAAACTTATAAGGGTACGATGGGTTAAGAAGTCCGCTATTGACTGGTTGAATGAAGGGTTGTTAGGATCTATTTATGATGTGCTTACATGAGAAAAAGGAGCAGAGATAGGGCAAAATCAGATATAGAACTAGAAAGAGGAAGAAAAAAGGCACGAACATCTAAATTTTTTACACAACAAGATTTCAGGCTGTACGAAAAAAGGGCTGTAGCTATCATTTAGGATACCTAGGATGAAATTCGATGAAGCTATTTAAGAACTTGAAATGAAATATTTTATTGTTCAAGTTTAGTGTGTATCATGGAAGAGTTTTGGGAGATAATAAAGGAAGACCACGTAAACAAGGAGAGGATTTGGAGGGCTCAATCGGCCCATGCGATAAGAACTCATATTATCTTGCTTTCTCACGCTTTGTCACATTGATTGGTCATGATGTGTAAATTAAGGGAAAAATGATTTACATAGCTTGTTATATGTCTATTATCTATGTAACAAGTGTTGTGTTCTATGAATGTGTAATGTAAAACCGATCACCTCATTGTACTGCACTATGGCCTGCGAGCAGTTTCCCTTCTTCCCTGCACTTCTCTCCGTGAAGACCCTTAACATATTGAGATCATTTGCTGCCTGGTTGACTATGTGGACTTGGCGGTATCAATTCCAAGATAGTTATAAGTGGTGTCTGCCTTAGATTTCATTTGTCTACATCACTTTTTATCTTTTTTGTTGTTTATGTTCGATCATATCACTCTTTATAGTGATAATTAGGTCATTTTGTATGTGTTTATTATTATCCTTTGTTTGATCCTGACATTTGGTGGTCTAACTGCAGCAATTCCGATTGTGATGAGAGCTCAAAATAGCCATCCTCTAGATCCACTGTCTGCAGCTGAGATATTAGTTGCAGTAGCAACAGTCAGGGCTGCTGGTGCAACTCCAGAGGTTCTTTAGATGCTTTGCTTGCTTCATGAGCTTTCTTTTGGTATATTTGAACACTTGACTTCAATAATTATGGTAAACTTCTTTTCAGGTTAGAGATGGTATGCGATTTATAGAAGTTGTTCTGTTGGAACCAGAGAAGAACGTTGTGGCATTGGCTGATGCCTACTTCTTTCCCCCTTTTCAACCATCACTACTCCCCAGAACAAAAGGTGGTCCTGTCATCCTGGGTAAGCTTCCTCCTCGGAGGGCTAGGCTTGTTGTTTACAACAAAAGGTCAAATGAGACAAGCATTTGGATCGTCGAACTCTCAGAAGTTCATGCGGCTACTCGGGGTGGCCGTCACAGGGGAAAAGTCATCTCCTCTGAAGTTGTTCCGGTAGTCCAACCCTCCATGGTATGTGGTTTTGGAGAGGCTGATGTGGGCATAATCTTAGATGATTTTCTTCTTGTATTCTCTTTTGCTAATATGTTTTGTCGAACTTATTCTTCTCAATTAGTTCTATAACCCTGAATCTACAATTAGTTCTTAAATCATTGTATCATATTTGTTTTGAAATCTCTTACTTTATCGTTCATGATATAAGCATAGCATCCTCAAGTTCCTTATCAAAGGTATTTTATGCTATTACATTTCTGATTGTATGTTGAGAAGCAAGATTTTTCCTTTTATATTGGTCGTTGCTTACTTATTAGAAGCTTATGGTTTTTTCATATAATAGGTGATTTTGACCAGTGATCTTATTTTATAAATCTAGGATGCCATGGAGTATGCGGAATGTGAAGCTGCTGTAAAAAGTCACCTTCCATTCATAGAGGCAATGAGAAAGAGAGGAGTAGAGGATATGGATCTTGTGATGGTTGATTCTTGGTATGCTCGACTTGTTCGTTTATTTACTATAAGCTATTATCGGGATATAATGCCATTGCAGTTGCTACTTTTTAATTATGATTTCTCTTTTTTCACCTGTGTATCCAGGTGTGTTGGTTTCTACAGTGATGCTGATGGTCCTAATCGCAGACTTGCAAGACCACTAATATTTTGCAGAACTGAGAGTGACTGCCCCATGGAGAATGGTTACGCACGTCCCGTTGAAGGCATACATGTTCTTGTGGATATTCAAAATAATGTTATAATCGAATTTGAAGATAGAAAATTGGTGCCTCTACCTCCAGCAGATCCTTTGAGAAACTATACTCCTGGAGAAACACGAGGAGGCATCGACCGAAGTGATGTGAAACCTCTACAAATTCTTCAGCCTGAAGGTCCCAGTTTTCGTGTAAATGGTTACTTTGTGCAATGGCAAAAGGTATTCTGTTCATTTATTGCATCATTCTCTGGTTTTTTCACCTATTTCTTTCAAAGCTTGCAGTGAACTCACAATCTTCCTCTTTTCTGCTGAATAGTGGAATTTCCGGATTGGTTTCACGCCAAGGGAGGGATTAGTCATACATTCTCTAGCATATGTTGATGGTAGTCGTGGACGGAGACCTATTGCTCACAGGCTAAGCTTCGTGGAGATGGTAGTTCCTCATGGAGATCCAAATGAACCTCATTACCGTAAAAATGCATTTGATGCTGGGGAAGATGGCCTTGGAAAAAATGCACACTCTCTTAAAAAGGTCAAATGTGCTATGCTTGCAGATCTGTTTTATGCTTCATTAGTTGTATTTGCTTTTCCAATTTCTATCTTAAAATATATGTCAATCCAGGGCTGTGACTGCTTGGGTTACATCAAATACTTTGATGCCCATTTCACAAACTACACTGGTGGGGTTGAAACTATTGAGAATTGTGTTTGTTTGCATGAAGAGGACCATGGGATCCTATGGAAGCACCAAGATTGGAGAACAGGCTTAGCAGAAGTTAGGCGATCAAGAAGGCTAAGTGTGTCCTTCATATGTACAGTTGCTAATTATGAATATGGCTTTTTCTGGCACTTCTATCAGGTAAGTTGGAAAATTTTGCACTTTATGCTTCTTGTTCTAGTTGCTAGTAACATAATGTTTGATTATACCTGATAATCTGAAATTGTAACTTTTTGGACAATCTAGTCATGATTTAAGCCTTTAAAGCATACTCATCCTTTCATCTAATTTTGTGTTTGTTTGCTGAAAGCTTTTACACTTATTTGACAGAAGATATTCCACTTTCAGGTTCTTCTCTTTTGCCATACCTATAATATATAATTCAACCAAATATCAGAACTTCATATTTTGCTAATTATAGAAAACTTTACTACAATATGCTGGATTAGCCTGCTTCTGCATGGGCTGTTATGGTCTGCGATTCCACATGCACCTAACTTTTGCACTCATCCACTCACAATGTTGTTTAAGGTATGAATGTTGTGCAAATCCTTCCATGTACTAGCAAATAGTCCCAATATTTACTCCGAATGAGTAACGTGAGTATATCTTGTAACAGAGTGACAGTCCAAAAAAGATTGTTAGATTAAGTTATTTTTTCAAAACTTTGGGTATGAACCCGTGGTTGTTAGGGAATTGGCAAGTTGTTCTCGAAAGCAATTTGCTGAGAAGGCTATAAACTGATATGTTTGAGGGTGAAATTTATTAGAACATGATCTTGTTCAAGTGGAATTGGGGATAGAAGAGGTATGAAAGAAAGAAAAGAAGCATGAGAAGAGAAGATAATAAGCACTTGTGACACACTTAAAAGACCTGCTACTAGGAGAAACAGTTTACTTCACTGGTGGAGAAAAAATTTCTTCTTCTCTTCGTATCTTGACTTCGTATCAGGGAAGGACCGAGTGACGTTGCAGAGAACTGGGGTTTGTTATAGGTTTATTGTATTTGCCATATCTTTTGAACAACTGGGAATGAAATATACATGATGTGCTACTTAGTAAGTATCAGGAAGAGTTAGTATATGATTGAAGATTTAGTTGGATTAGCTAGGTGGCAGTAACTTGATATGGATTTGGTGATACGACAAAAATGTCTCTGCTTAAATAATTTGAAGTAGGTAATATGAGAACTGGTTTTTAATGAGTTTGCTGTCATTTTTTCACTACAGTTTGAAGGCTCTGATATGTATGCAAGTCTATGAGATGCAACAACATGGTATTCTTTTCTCTTTCTTTTCTACTCTCATGCATTCTCTCTTTCTTTTGCTTATGTGCTATCTGTCTCTCCCCCATTGTCTGCCTCTTCTCCTTGCCGCATCATTGCCGATGCCATCTCCACCTTGCCAATTGTTGCCACCATCTTAAGGTTTGCATCCTCTTCCTTTTCCTCCACTTCATCTCCTCATGCTTTGCCTCCTCGTCTTCCTCTGTCTTCGTGTCTTTCTCCTCCACCAATCCTCTTTTTTTAGTTCTCTCCTCTTTCGCTGACCTATACTGAGTATTAATATGTTAATCCATACCAGAACTGTATTGATCCAGTCACTGTTTGGTATCTGCGTTGGACTGAGATTCTAAACCTTGATTCCAACTATAATCGCAAGACAGTTTAGTTTTCTTCTATAATGGCCCTCCTTTTGTGAATTATGATGGAAGACGCTACCCAAAATACTAACATAAATTAAAGTAGATGAATAAATAAGAAGCACACTATGACAATTAAGGCATAGTTGCATGTGCCATGGCTAAGTTTTAACAGATCAGCATATACTGTTCATTGCACACGTAAATAAAATGACTTTCTTTTAGCTTGTAACTTGTTAATAAATCTACTTGCACCTTTTTCTTTCAAAATTGTAACTCTTTTTTTAGTCAGATTCTAGGACTCTCTCCTAACAATTATTTGTAACAAGTGTCTGCCCAAGAAAAAGTAGGCATTAGGAGCTTAGTTAACTTTCCAGGCTCTTATATAGGCAGTTAATCTGTTGCTTTGCCTGCTTTAAATAGGTGCCTAAGTTGGTGGGTTAGCTAAATGGTCTGAGCGAATTGTTTGGGCTGCACCTATGACAACAATCCTTCTTGATCATCCATCTGATATTAATTGAATATCATAAGTTATTTTTATACTAACTATTTATGTTGACTCTGGTATCAGATAGTAATTCTAAATCTGGATTATTTTCCTTCACTAATTCTGGTGGCACAGCATGTCCTGGGTATGAATTTCACTCCATCGACTTCCATTGGGTAGTTGGTGGATTGGCATGTTCAGGTCCAAATCAACATCTTTTAGTCTCTGATATAAAATCAAAAACAATTTTCCTGCTCTATGAAGGTATTAACAAATATGATATGAAAGGTTTTGCACATTTATATTATGCTAGTCATTTTATTAAAACAAATGCTCTTACGTTGCTGTAAGAAGATTGACAGTAATTTGAACATTAGACAATGAATTTTGGTGAATATATTATCTAATATTTATGTCACACATAGATTTATTTATTTATGTTATTTTTTAGAAACAATTGTTACCTGTTAGGTAAAATATATCCATTGCTGCAGAGCTTTGAGACACCTTTATTGTGTCAGTTACCAGTTTGCTTCCATGTTCAAGGTGTTTTCAGGGGCTTACTTCTTGTGCAGTAAGTTAAATAATTGAACATAGAGAAACTATTGAAAATTAGAATCGGCCATTACATACATAGTTGATGAACCGGAGCAGATGGGCAAAGTTTGGATTTGATACATAGAAGATATATTGACAGAATTTCCTGCTTGGTAGGGCTTGAGTGAGCTCCTAAAGTTATGTTCTGACATGAATGCTGAGATTCTCCAACTGGGTTCATAATGCAATTTTCACGCTCGTGCATTCTTAATGTTATCTCAATATCCTTTGTTTTTTCTAAACCTGGAAGTAGTTTATCTATACGTGCATGATTTTTCTGTTTTAGCTCATAAAACAGAATGGTTAGTTCAATCATTGCTAATCAATCTTCTTACTCCTACATCATTCTGTTGTTTTTCATGCTTGATATAGACATATGCTTTGGATATGATGCATATGGCTTACATGGTACTCTCTTGCAGGATGGTAAAATTGAGGCAGAAGTAAAGATAACTGGAATTCTCAGCCTAGGGGCTTTGGGACCTGGTGAATCAAGAAAGTATGGTACAACAATAGCACCGGGTTTATATGCGCCAGTTCATCAGCATTTCTTTGTTGCTCGCATGGATATGGCTGTTGACTGTAAACCTAATGAAGCCTTCAATCAGGTGCTCCTTTTATTTACATTTTGTGTTGTGATGTAGTTTTGTATTTCTACTTTGTGATTTTTCTTCTTTCTTTTATCCTGATTTTCACCTGTCCTAAATCCTTATTCTGCAATATTGTATATGTCTTGCTTTACTACATATTAGGATAAAAGTATGAATTCATCACTATCACTATTAGTAGTTAACTCAACAATCTTTTTCGCACTTGTGTTACTTCCCCAGATTCTTTTTGAAAGTGGTTCTAAGAGACTGGAATCCAGTATTTGCTTCTGCGGAAGGCTCACAGGGAACAGAATTTTAGTATCACTGACTACTCGGTTCATGATCACTAATTCAGAATAAAATAAACTTGATTAATTTTTCTGGTTGCTTTGTTTGGTATCTTCAAGGATAAATTTAACTTGATAAAACTAATAGGAAACTTGGGTCTGTTAGAATGAAAACAGCAAAGAAAGGAAACATCAATTCTGCAAAGAAAATTGAAAACCTTGAGATACCTAGCAAAAGTAGCTAAAAATTGCAATTTCTTAAAAGAAAAAGAGAAACACTGAATGCCCATCTGAAAGATAAACTGCAAAGAACTCCTCAACATGAAATTTAAGTTTCATATTGTTTTTGAATTTTGGCTTGAGTTGTTTTTAGTGCATGAAAGATTTCTACAAATTCACTAAGCAAATAACTAGTTTATCTTGTTAAAGAATTAGGTGAAAGGTTGATAAGGTAGACAACACCCTAAGCTTGTGCTACTGTGTATTTGCCCACATACATGGAAGCATCTTGATGCCTTTACTAAAAGAACAAAGCAGCATGGTGGATACCCAATCACCTTGGTGTCTAGTGGCCTAGTTACATAGTTCATATGGTTCTTTTTTTCTTTCTTTCCTTTGATCATTGGTATTATCATCGAACTTTTGTCTATACATGATGCAATTCCTTCTCGTAAAAAAATGACAATTCTGTCGATTCTTTGTGTAATAAAGTCACTGTACAATGCAAAGGTTGTTGATACGTTATATATATATATATATATATATATATAT